AGCGAACTGAGTGTGGAGGGGAAGGGCTGGACGGGCAGAGAAGTGCAGCAATGAATGAATGGAAATCCAAAATCTCTGTAAATGTTCATTAAAATTATTAAAATTAAAATTACACGCAAAAAAACCCCAAAACCAGACCACCACCAAAGCTCAACAAATCAAACCAGTGAAATCAAACCACTGCTTCCGAGGAGCAGTGAAATGCTGACTCACGGTGAACACCAGAAGATGAGCTGCTCAGGTTGGAAAGGACACGAAATATGACGGGGTAAGAGCTATCGCCTCAACGCAGGGCTAGACTTAACACCATGAAAGGAGAGAGTTTTCAAGACCTTCATTTTAATACAACTTTATTCAAGTTTACACATCAACCACGAACGTCAAACGTGGAAAAACCCAGAAGTTTACCAACTTTACCAACTTTTGCAGTTCCAAAACAAGCAAACATGTAAATCAAGATGCATTGCTCAATGTCGGTGAATGGATTGCAAAAGCTCAAAACAAAGGATCAGTAGTTGGAAAACCTAGTCTTGGCGATAGAAATAACAAATAGGCTGCATGTAGAATTTTGCAAGAATATCTGTTTATTCATTGCAGTGTCCTTTCCCAAGAACATAATGATGACTATGCACATGGAACTCACTGGATGGAATATGCAGGAACGACGGAGAAGCTCAGTAAGTCAGCACAGGTCTGGGTCAACTGCAGGACAGATCATCAATTGCTCAAAAGAAGTTCAAGATGAAGCGGAAGAAAATGAAGCTAAGTCCAGAAGAGCCAAAGTATGACCCTGAGAATATTCCACCTGAATTGATGAGATTGTCGAACTGACAAGAGCACCTACATAACAGGTTTAATGTACTGTAATGACCAAAGACCACAAGAGTTTGGAATGACATCAAGAATGTCATGCATGAAGAAAGCAAAAGGTCACTAAAATGACAGGAAAGAAAGAAAGAAAATATCAAAATGGATGTCAGAAAAGACTTTGAAACTTGTTTTTGAACAAAGAGTAGCTATAAAGTTAATGGAAGAAATGAAGCAAAATAAACAGAAAATGTCAAAGGCAGTTCAAGAAGACAGAGTAAAGAATTACAATGATATGTGCAAAGACCTAGAGTTAGTAAACCAACAGAGAAGAACATGCTTAGTGTTTCTCAGGCTGAGTGAACTTAAGATAAATGTCAAGTCTTGAGTTGCATCATTCAAAGATTCATAAAAAAAATTCAATGGGCACAGAATCAAATAATGCAAGAAGTGTGATGGAAGGAATACACAGAGTCATTGTACCAAAAGTGAGTGGTTGATATTTAACCATTTCAGGAGGTAACATACGATTAAGAACTGATGGTAACGAAGAAGGAAGTCCAAGTTGCATAAAGTTTGTCAAAAGCCAAAGCTCCGGGGATTGACAGAATACCAATTGAAATGACTCAATAAAGGGATACAACTCTGAAGTGTGGATTCATCTTTCCAAAGAAGTCAGTGTAGATTCATCTTTCCCAAGAAGTCAGTGTGGATTAATCTTTCCCAAGAAATGTGGAAGAAAATTTCCAGTCAGACCAATTGGAAGAGATCCATATATATTCCTATTCCAAATAAAAGTGATCTAACGGGGGAAAGTGATCCAACAGAAGGCAGGAATCATCATTGTCATTAATACCACACAGCAGTGAAATTTTGCTTAAGGTAATAAAAAAAATTGTTGGAATAGTACTTTGACAGGAACTATCAGAAATTCAAGCTAAATTCAGAAGAGACCATGGAACAAAGACTATCACGGCAGATGCCAAATGGATCTTGGATGAAAGCGTAGAATCTAAAAAGATGTTTACCTCTGTTTTATTGAAGATGTTTAGCCATTTGACTATGTGGATAATAACAAATTATAGATAATAGTGAGAATAATAGGAATTCTTCTCTTTCTTATTGTCATTGACTTGGTTCTGACTCGTAGCTGACCTTTCAACAAGTTTCTAAGGCTGCAAATTGCATGGGAGGAGTCTGTCCATCTTTCTCCCAGGGAATGGTAGGTGGATTTGAACCACCAGAGGAACAGAGTCTTTGCATTACAGCATAATTCCTACGGATTACACCACCAGACCTCCATTAAAGGGAATTCCAGAACACTTAATTGTGCTAATGCAAAACCTGTACATAACCCAAAAGGCAGTTATTTTAATAGAACAAGGCGACACTAGGTGGTGTAAAAGGAGGACTGACATTGTCAAGGATTTAAGATCACTTGGATCCACCATCAATGTCTATCCATAGATGCATAAATCAGGAAATCAAATAATATACTGCAATTGAGCAAATCTACTGCTAACAACTGCTTCAAAGTGTTAAAAAGCAAAGATGTTACCTTAAGAACTAAGGTGCACTTGACTCAATGAATAAAAAAGATGAAAGAAGAACGGATACATTTTAATCACGATGTTGGTGAAGAAGACTGAATATCCTATCAAATGCCAAAGGGAGTGCTGGTGGCTGGCGAGGGGAGTGGTTTGATGTCGCCAGCTGCTCCTCAGGAGAAAGATGCACAATCTCCTCCTGATGTCCAGCCTCTGAAAACCCACTGGAGTATCATCTATGAGTGGGTTCTGACTTGACCACAATGAGTGGGTGAGTGATGGACTATCTGCAGAACAAACCAACCTGTCTTGGAGGAAGTACAGCCAGAATGTTCCTTAGAAACGATAATGGTAAAGTGCAACAATGAATGAATGGAAATCCAAAGTCTCCGTAAATTTTCAGTGAAATTAATACTAAATTTAAAAAAAATGATAATGGTAAAACTTTTTCGTATTCTGTAAACTTCGGTTACGAGACCCTTGTCTGAAATGGCATTGAAAAATGTTTTTCCCCAGTCAGTAGGTTTTCTTTTCACCGTATGAGGAAAAGTTTTTTATGTGCCCGGAGACTGAATGTTTAAAAGGACCCATTCATCAATTTTATCCTCTCCTGGCTATGCCTAATGGCGAAACTTTGGACATTTTGTCAGGAAGGACCTGTCCCTGAAGAAGGACACCATGCTTAGCAGTTAAGGGTCAGTGTAGAAGATGAACACCCTCAGAGATGGACTGCGACAGGGGCTCCAACAATAGGCTCCAACATGACAACCCTGGGAGGACACTCCTGGAGCAGCTGGTGTGATGTTCTGTCATACACAAGCTTGCTATGAGTCATGGTCAACTTGATGCATTAAAAACAATAATCACCACCACATCAACAATGACTGCGTTTCTTTCATGGATTTCTTCCATTCTCTGTTTCCTGCCTCCAATTTTGAGTTTATTATTATTCTTTTCCTAATTTATTAAGCTGTATGTTTGGTCAGTTTTCAACCTTCTTTGATTCCCTAATAAGAGCATCCAATTAGTTAAATACCATGTTTTCACACAAGGAATGCTCATGTAATAGGTTTTGCCAACTGTACCATTCCTCCAACAGGTATTTTCATAAACTTGTTATGCTAATTTTTTTACAGCAACATGTAATACAATCTTATTTGCATAAACATACGTTATTTCCTTAAAGGAGCAATTTCCTTACATCTCATGTTTTATGATTTACTTTCATTACTGTTTAGTTCTAGGTATTTTTAAATTTCTATTTTGGTTTTGTTTTCCTTTGACCTCTCTGTTAGAAATTGTTTTCAAATTTCCAAATGAATGGGAATCTAACATTTATCTCTTGTTATTGATTTCTAACTCAATTGCATTGTGATCAGAGATCCTGGTCAATGAAATATTAAATCATATTTATGACTTAAACTTCAAAAGCCCTTTGAGGGCCTAAGTTAGTGATGAGTTGTTTTACCTGACTCTTAACAGGGGTTTCCATGCTTAGTAACAACCTCCAGCTCTGAGTATATTTTTCTGATCTTGATCTGGGAATTCTGACCATCCTGGGGTTGCTTTCCTCTGGAGAAGTTTTCTGGTGCAGCCCACTTGAGATCTCTCCACCTCCTGTGAGATTCTAGCTCAAGCCATAGACTTGATTCAGCAACCTGACACCAGTAACCAGAAAAAGATCTAATATTATGTAAAACTAGTATTCGTTTAGGGAGCTCTGATGGCTTAGTGGTAAGGTCTTGTACTGTCAACCCAAAGGTACATGGTTCAAATCCACTAGCTGTTTCATGGGAGAATGATAGGTAAACTCTTCCCATGTGACTTACAGTGTCTGAAAACGCACTAGAGGGTCAGTTCCAACCCAACAACACATTAACAACAATATTAATTTTGGGAGCTCTGGTTATCTAGTGGTAAGGACTCATTACCAATCCAAAGGCACATGGTTCAAATCCACTAGCTGCTTCGAGGAAGAAAAATGGACACTCTCCTTCTGTGCAATGTACAGCCTCTGAAAACCCACTGGAGGGTCAGGGGTGGGTCAGTTCTGACTCAATGACACAAAACAACAGCAACAACAACAATAGTATTAGTTTATCCTCAAAAGATTAATTTCTCTTTTATCCTGGAAAGATCTAGATTTTGTTAAATTACACTCAGAGGGCTTGAAAATTGCTGAACAGCAGTAACTTCATATGATCCAACCTATACCATCAGCGTCTACCCTCACAACAAGCCTGTTTTCCCAGTCTGCTAAATTCTTCTCTCTCTTATCTAGATTTTGGCTCAATGTTTGTTTCCTTTGGGGTGCAGAAGGGGACTTTGGGGATTTCTCCAATTTCCTGTGCAATCATGAAACATTAGATATTATTCAGGAGTGAATTATTTTGCCATGGGGTGAGGAGCTCTTTGGAGATCTAGACCAGTGGTTGGAAGCTGAAATCCTGGCACAGACATGTTGTCCTCAATCAGGAAATGAAAGCTTTAAGAGGTAAAATGACTTATCCAGAGTCATGGAGTTGGAAACAAGCAGGGGAAGGCCTTGGACCCACATGTGTGATGAGTAGCCCTGCTCTCCCCACTTCTCTTTGTCCTGTGGTGCCCCCCCAAGTCACTGGGACATGGAGTCCTCAGCATCCTTACCTGGTGCAGAGGGATGACGAGGAAGGCGCCCCCCCCAGCACACTCAGTCACCACAGCGATGAAGTGAGGGTTCACAGCGCAGAAGTGGTTGTCGTGGACGCTGCGGGTGATGGGCACCGAGTCGTAGCAGTTCTCCTTGCTGGCTGGTTTGCCAAAGACGTGGCGGAACTTGGAGCTCCGGTACTGGGGGTGCCATGACATCTGTGGGAGACAAAAACAGGACCAGAGGTGTGACACTGACCTGGGAATCCTACGAGGAGACTGTACAAAAGGGCACGACCAGGACAGTGGTCAGTTCCATGTGGACAGTGGTGCGGCGCTGACGGGTGACCGAGTGAACAGCCTGTAATTCTGCGTGTTTGGATAGCCCCGGTGAGGCGTGGTGGGGATGGTGTGTAATTATTGCTCATCTGTTTGCTGATGTTTGAGGTTTTTTTATTCTTTCAAGCATGAACACAAGAAGGCAGAAAACTACGAGAGAGCTCACCCTCTCCTGTCTCACCAGATAGTCCAAACGGCCTTCTCCCTCCATAAATGCCAATAGTGAGGTCTCCAGAGCCAGCCAGCCCAGGCTCAGAGGCCAGCCCTGCTCTTGACCGTTGTGTGGGCTGGTGACTTAACACAAGAAGCCTCAGTTTCCCTATCTATACACTGAGAATAAGAAGACGTCTGTCTCATAGACTTGCCCTGAGAATTACCTATCAAATCATGGCCCATGGCAGATACTTGATAACAATAGCAATTACTGCCACGATTACCATTCAGGTCTCTTGAGCTCTCCTCCTTCATCATTGAGTGTTATATTTGCTTCCTCAAAATTTACTGAGCATCACTGTGTAACCAATCCCTGGGAGCTCGGAGAGGCTAAGCCCCTATCCAGCATTTACAGAAGCACAGAGTCCCTGCGGGGGTGGCCAGCAGAGTGTCTGAGGCATTGGGACCCAGGGTACTCAAGTTTATACAGGGCAGTCCGGGAGGACTTCCTGGAGGAAGCGGTCCTGGAACTGCAATTTGAAGGGTTTAGGTTATGTGCAGAAATGATGTGTGCCACTTCTAGGCTGAAACAAGAAAGCTTGTCTTTGCCTGCAGCACTCTTGTTCTGGCTGAAGGGGTGAGAGGCCACATACATCAAAGTGTGCATCCCTAACAGAAGAGCAGCAACCAGATAAAACGGCAGAGTCTCCATCACTCTGGCCCCCAAGGGACAGTGGAACAGAGCCCCTCTCCCAGCGGACACAAGACAAAACAGAGCTAAGCTTGCAGAGTGTGGGGAGAGAGTAGGGTAATTTGTCACACCGCACATAACATTTGTCAGCCTGCGGATTAAGGCACTGCCCCATGCAGGTGCTTGCTGGCTTCAGCCAATGGCTGTCTGAGCAGGTGGGGCCAGAGCACAGGAAGCCTGAGGCAGAGGCGAGGAGGAAGAGGCGGGACCCAAAACACCTCCCTTAAGTGCAGTAGTGAGAGCTGCAAGCAGGAGAATGAGGCAGCTAGCTTTCCCTTTCAGGATTCCTTGGGCCACTGGGTGGAGAAAAGGTTAGAACAGGTGATGGATGATGGTCACCCAGGTTGGAGCAGGGAACACAGACTTGGGGTGCCTGAGTGCATTAACACTCTGTTCTCCCTCCAGGCTCAGCTCTCTCCTTTTACAAGGCACACTGGGGGACACATGGGGTTTGTCCCAACACTGCGGGGCGAGCTCCTCGCCCCGGCAGCCCCTAGCCATTCCCACAGTGGCAACAACTCCATTTTTCAGTGCTTGTTGTGTGCTAGGCGTTATTGCACATGCATGCCTTGTGTGATCTTAATAGATGGGTGCCCCTCTGATCTGGTTAACAGAGAGAGGGACGGCAGCAGCGAAGCAGAGAGAGGGAAGTGACCACACGGGGTCCCTGAGCTAGTGCGTCAGCCAGCCATGTGGTGAGAGCTGAGTCAGCCCATCTTGGAGACTCCAGCTCCAGGTTCCTGCAGATAACACAGATGCTGACCAGAACTCCCTCACGCCCTAGGGCCCACCTCAGCCTTGAACTGATCACTGTCACCTCCACCTCACAGAAGGCCAGCCCCTGGAAGCTAAGCTCTGGCTCGATGCCTTTCTGAGGGGGGCTGTTGGACCCAGTGAAGAAGCCAGCTGGCCCCAGAGTGGGTGAACATCAGTGCCCTTTTGCCCTGTCCCTCCCCTACAAACTACTCTCACTGCCGCACCCCAGCACTTTTATCTCCTCTGCCAAGGTTCTTCCAGCCCCCCTGCCATGGATGGAAATCACAGGAGGGGGATGAGGGGCACCCAGCCAGGCTCCGTCTCCCCTGGGTGCACTGTATGTGCATGCATGCATACACTCTGGTGATGCTCCGTGCAAACCTATCAGCCACGTGTACTGTATGCATTTGCTCTTGTACACGTCTGCTCACGAGCGTTAACTCTTTGATAGACGCACATGTGCCCGTGCCTCTTGTGTGTGTATGTGTGTGTGTGTGTGTGTGTGTGTATGTCACTGGGTTGTGTCTGCGTATGAACGTGTTCACATGTGCATTCACGTGCATGTGAGTTGAATGATTCAGCAAAAGGGAGACAGGAGTTTCCTTTTCTCCACAAGCAGGCACTTGCCTACCAATTTGGCCCACGGCAGCCTCGGCACCGGGGGGAGGCCCTCACCCAAGGGCCGGGTCAGGACAGCTAACCCTGGTCAGGTTCATCTGTGCCGCCTGTCCCACCCTGCCCCATCCCATCCATCTGGGACCACATCAAAGTCACAGTACATCTTCTCAGGTGTGGAACTCTGGGCCAGGCTGGGGGCACAGGGCAGGGGTGGCACTGGTTGCACAGTTTCCATCCCAGGCATGTTTAGTGGGCCCGGTGCCAAGGGATTAGGCTCCGAGGATTGTGAGTTCCCCACCTTCAAAGAAGGATTAGTCATCTCTGGGCTCAGCCCCCACTGAACTGACTCCCTGAGCACCAGACAGTGGAACTGCCTCTCTCCCCCAGCCCTCACAACTCTGCTGCAGGCAGGACTCTCATCTCCACTCGATGAAAGAGAAAACAGAGCTGCAGGGGAAGGGACTTGATCAAGATTGTGGTGGATGTGAGCAGTGCAGGAGGGAGTGAAAAGAACTGAGTCGTGTCCGTGGGCCCTCTTCTGTTAGGCCACATGCTCCTCTGAGACCAAGAGTGTGTATGTGAGTGAGAGAGAGACACAGAGAAAGACTGCATGTGTGAGAGTGTGCATGTCTGTATGCCTGTGTGAGACAAAGAGTAAATGTGTGTAAGAGAGGGGTGTGTGTGTGAGAGAGTGTGCATGTCTGCATGCCTGTGTGAGACACAGAGTAAATATGTGTAAGAGAGGGGTGTGTGTGTGTGAGAGAGAGAGTGTGCATGTCTGTATGCTTGTGTGAGACAAAGTAAATATGTGTAAGAGAGGGGTGTGTGTGTGTGAGAGAGAGTGTGCATGTTTGTATGCTTGTGTGAGACAAGGAGTAAATATGTGTAAGAGGTGTGTGTGTGTGTGTGTAACACCAACAGGGAAAGAGTGATGGAGGACTAAGGGCTAGGTGCCCCCAAAGGCCCCTCTTCCTTGCACAGCCCTGAATCACTAGGGGACAAGGGTTAGCTGCAGGGCAGCTGAAACATAACCCAGTGGGGTGTGGCACAAAGCCGCCTAGCAGATTATTCATTAATTGTACTGTTCATGGCCTCCGGGAAAGAACGAAAGTACTTGACTTGGTCTTTGAATGGCTGGGAGGGGTGGGAGTCTGTCACCCGCTGCCCTCGTCCCACTGTAACTTTGTGGTTCCACATCTAACGTTTGAAGTTTTGTTTGTCTTTCTCTCTTAAAACCTGATCTTGTGCACATGGCAAGCAGCCCCCTGTAAGTGTCCAGTGGAGAGGGTCTGAACAAACACATTTTGGTACAACCACAGAGAGAGGTTAGAACTACATATCTCCCAGTTGTTAAAAGAAAAAAAGTACTGTTAAAACAGTAAGTGTTAAAGGGTAAGACGGAAAAACCATGAATTAACACAATAAACACCTAATTATGGGTGGGTCCCTTGCTCACCAATCCTTGATTGACGATTATCCATCATCTTGGCCTTGACTCCAATCTTGACAGGAAAGTTCCTCTCTATCGCATCAGGATTCCTTATCAGGGGCTCATACACACTCCCGCAGTGGGAGGTGGCGGGTGGAACAGTGAACTGAGAATCCACGGGCCCTGCAGTCCAGGCCTAATCATCTCTCTAACCAGTGATTTCCCTGAGAGGTTTCCCTTCTCACCAGGCAAAGCTAAACCCCACAAATCTCTGCTTCTTCTCCTCAGCCCCTGAGACTGTTAACTCCTCCAGCCACTATGCGAAAGGCTGGGAGTTCTAATCTCCCCAGAAGCTCCTCAGAAGAATGGTCCGACTTAACTTCCATAAAACTATTAAAAGCCCTATTTATATGCAAACCAATAAAAAAAAATTTCATGCAAACAACCAACCCCCTCCTACCCTTTTGCAGAACAATTCTATTCTGACATGGAAGGAACACTATGAGTCAGAAGTCGCACCATTGGTTAGTGATTTTTCTCAATTCTTTCACATTGAGACAGACTAGGAAGAAGGACTGGCCATCCACTTCTGAAATAGCAGGCCTCTGAAA